AAATTTATTAAATAGTATATTCTTTAAATAATTTTTTTAAATTAAAAAAATAAATAAATAAACACTAATGTCTTGACAACTTTCTTTCCTTTTATATATTATATATATAAATTTGTGACGAAAAAAAATCTAATTATTAAACGGGTAAACTGGCGGATAAATGAAACGCACCGTTTCATTAAGGACAACTTGGCCTTTTTCAGTGATTTTCCGTTTTGCGACTGCCTGGTTGGATTATAGTCAATACCAAGTCCTAACTCCGTTCGGACTCCGGAGACTACAGAAGTCATCGGGGACCGAAGGCTCTAATGGCGAGCTCGATTGTGCCATATCCCTCCTCGCCACCGTCAGCTTCTTCCGGCCCCGATTCCGGAACCTCCCTTCCTAAGCCTGCCGCCCCATCTCCGCCTCTCCAGGTAACTCTCTCCTTTACCTATGCACACAGCATGTAATGTAGATAGGTGTACTTTTTTTGCTAGTGTGGATTTTGCTTCTCATCTATACCAGGTCGACGCTGTTGCAACCGGCAATGGAGCTCTCAATGCTGCTGAGCAAAAACCAGTATCAGATGACCATTTTGCGTAAGCCCTTCAACATTTTTTCCTTACTAATGATGGGTTTGAAAGATTTATTATTTTCTCATTTTCTTTATTTTTCTTGTGATTCATCTTCTCTTATTCCACGTTCAGCCCAATTCACACTATGGTATTCTGTTTTGCTTAGGATTCTTGATCACCCAGAAACTATGGAGAAATATAAGAAATATGAAGCTGAGTATACTGGTAGACTAATGGCAAAGTACTTCTCTAAGAAGAATATTTATGGAGGTAAACATTACTGTTATGGTTTCATGTGTTCTGTATTTCTTAACAATTTGGTATTCATGTTTTCGGCAGAATAGATTAGTTGATCATTTTAATTTTTGGGATTCTTTCAGGTGACATTTATGATGAGAAAACAACAATTAATAACGAGACTATATTGTCAAGCAGGTAGGAGGTGATTTGTGCGAACTTATATAGCTTAGTATATGAAATACTGGATTGTGAATAGTTTCTTTTGACAACTTTGTTTAGGTGGCCTTTCACTCAATCATTTGCAAATCCAATGCATGCTTTTGAGGAGCAATGCAGCGGTGGTGGTTCAACTTCTGGAGAAGAAACCCTGGTTGATATCTCAGACAATAAGCTCCCTCCAAAACAGAATGATTGATAATAGCATATTTCTTTCTTTCTTTCTAATATGATGCTGTATATAAATAAAAGTGGTTATTGTGGAGAAACAGGTGATAAGAAGTAATTTACCTGACATGTTCTCTTATTTACTGTCCCGTGGCAAGAAGTAGCTTTAGTTTTAGTGCTTGTGTACCAACGATGTCAACAATGACAATGATAGAACAAATTTTTGTGTCAAAGAATACATTTTGAAATCTAAGTTTCAAGGTTGGTTTTTATTATAATTCTTTCAACTCTAGTTATTTTCATGAATTGCTGCAATTTCTAACCTTCCTTTCAGTTGTATACTTGGACTGAAAAGTTTGGCATCTTTTCAAATTTAATTTGCATTGCACAAAATAGATCTAAGAAATTTCTAAATATTAGATTTTTTTTCATTTTTGTCCTTTCATTAGTAGGTTTAGAATTCCTAAATTGCTGTGACTGGAATTGAATAGTGAACATAACAAACTGATACCATACTTGATAAATATGAGCAAGCATGAGATAGAATGCTAACCAATATTTTGCTAGGAAACATGATCTTTCTAAGCATGCCACTTGAGTAAATTCATTAAGTAGCGATGAAGGATGATCAAAATTATGCATTTAAGATTTTTTAAGACAATAATTTATTTATCTTGATGTCCTCTTAGCAATGCTACAGTATATGATTTATTAACCAAACAGTACTATCAGGAAACTCGGTAAACAAATTTAACTTAGTTGAATGTAGAGGCAAATATCAATACTCTTATAGATAATCTGCACTCTTAAATCATTCTGTGGTTAATGTTTTCACAACTCCCTTCTCACTTTACATGTTGTTACTGAATTATGAATTACAGATTTGTACCTGCACCAGAACTCATACACCCTAGTTTCCATGCTTTTATATCCTCATTTTTCTGACAACTCTGTTCTTGTTTCCTCTCTGTCATCAAAGCCATATAAATGCATAAGACCAGCCTGGAAATTCATGAAACTAGCTTAGGGTAGATTGATTTGTAGCTTCAGCCCTAAGTTGCTGGTTGCTGTTGCCAGTGATATCTTCCAGATTATTCAGAGTTGAAAACATATCAGCAAGTACCAGGTGCAGAGTGGAAACATTCTCCTTGAGTTGAGCATTCTCTTGTAGGATCCTGTGGTTGTTCTCCAGCAGATGGATAAGCTCTTGTCCTAACTGATGGTTGATGGTCTGAAGCTGATGGACCTGTGACTGGAGCTCTTCAATTTGTTTTTTCTTGCGCAACCTTGATCTTCTTGCAGATTCTCTGTTGGATATAATTCTTCTAAGCCTCTTGTCTTTGTCAATGCTTAGCTGATACTCTCTTCCTTCTTCTTCAGTACTGAGACATGACATGTTTGGGGATAATATATGGAATGGAACATGGAATTGAGAATTTAGTAACAACCTGTTGGCAAATTTTGTGCTGGTATCAGGATTTTGAGCTGAGTATTCATGTGGCAGACTAAGGGTTCCAGAGACTTCATCTGGTTGCATGTTTAGGTGAGTTGCTGTGGGATGTGTTTCTTGTGAAGAACAGAAGGGAAGAAGGTTCTGAAGTGGGTTTGCCTGAGATAGAGTATGAAGTTCCTTGATTTCTTCTTCCTCCATGTGGCTTGAATATTTTGGTGGATGTCAGAGAGAGGGCCTGAAGCAGTGAATGGTGTTTTATAGCTGAGCACTTAGTGGCTTAAGAGAAATATCTTGGTACGCAAGTATCTGTATATACTTTTTATGTGTGAATGCTTGCTTGATGCCAATGATCTCTACTAAATATGCATTGCATTTATGTAGTGTGCATTACACTCCAAGTCTAAACCTCTAGATATAGAAATTGTATTGGTGATTGTCCATTTAGATATCTAGCTAGCTCCCTCTGATAATTCATTAATGATGCTTCTAATGCATTAATGGTAGGTGAAGACGATAGCATTGATAAAAATATCATCTACAGATATTACTAGTTTTGACAGGTGAAATGCATGTAAATAAGATGAAAGGAAAAGAAATGATGGAATATTTTCTAAACCTCTAAGTAGTAAAACTAATTGGCTCTTTGATTTTAATATTGAGTTGATCAATTTAACTTGATTGATAGTTCCATGATGGATGGTGTGACTTCTTGATTGTGACTGAATATCATTTACTTGACAGGCTTCTATGTTATGAGGAGTTTTTGCTGATATGAAGATGGCAGGTAATTGGATTGAGTTTATGCCTTTCGACTCGCATTTTTTTGGATATTATCTACTTTTGCAAGAAATAGATGAATAAGACTTCCAGCATTTTGTCTATTATGCTTTTTGACAAAGTAGGCCTAAGAGAAGATGAAAAGCACCCAGATAACTCGAATGTGTGTTTAATACCCAGAGTTGGAAATGATGAATTGCAGCAAGAAATCATCATGTTTCAATTGTTCTGTTCACTTGAAATCCTCTGTTTGATAGAAATAAATGCAGAGTTGGTGCAACTTTTCACCATTCTTGAAGTTTCTCTGTTTAACATGGTTAATGTAACCATTCTGCATTTAGACTTTGGCCTACCCTCCTACTCAGGCAGGATAGCTTCAAGAGTCAACTCCCAATTTTCCCTTAGGCCTCCCAAATATATGAGAATAAATGAATAATCTTCTGTACGCAAAGTGGTATAGGAAATGATGCATACTTTAAACTGTTAATTTACTTATTTGGGCTCTTGGAAAAGAACCAGAGTCACATATTTCCTTTTTCATTGTAAGATTTCTTGCTGGTATGCCTAAATGGCTAGGCAAAGCAGAATGCATAATTCTTCTCCAGCTGGAAGGGGGAAAGACAGGCCCTATCTATACGAAAGTGTTTTAAGACCTATGGGTTAAGTTAACTTTGATATGTTTATAACTCAGCTCAAGCTAAATAAGTTAAATTAAAGATTGTCAGCAACTAGGTTTTGGAACATACTTTGGCAAAATTCATAGCTTAGGAAAGTAGGGTTCAGTCTTTCTCCATGTGTACCGAACAAAATTTCTTGCCATTTGAAATAAACTATGATCCAAAACCCAGCAGGCTTCTGGCTGTGAGCTGAAAAGTATGTATGTCTTGTATCATATTTCTGCTTCTAACTTATAATTTCCGTATCCAGCTTGGGTTCAGGACATCCCCGGGCAAGGAAGTCAGGTGAGCCTCCATAATCTCCTCAGCTGCTATTTCAATTCTAGACAGTAGACAGAAATTCCCTGCATTCAGGCAAGGTAATTATTCAATTTAGGACCTGTTTGGTAGAGCTTCTTGGAGCTTTTACTTTTTTAATATTGTTTATGAGTCATAATTTTAAATTTTTATTGAAAGGAAAATTTAAAAGTTGTTTTTAAAAATAATAAAAAGTAAGTAAAAAAGAAGTTTATAAAAAATAAAAGTTTGAAACTTTTTAGTTTAAGGTCTTTTTAAGGTTAAAAAAATGCTAAAACATGTAAGTTTTTAAAAAGAAAATTTAAACTTATAAAACATGAATAGTATCAAAAAGTTAAAGCACTTACAAGCTTCACCAAACATGCTCTTAGTCTCTGCTGATAAAAATGCTGCAATCGAAAACTCAATGCTATAAGGTTAGTTGAACGTAGTCTATCCTGCTGCTATCATCTCTGGAAAGTCGTAGAATCACTGTAGTCTTTAATTTCCACACATCTGCACTTCGTTTTGGAAGTTAAGATAAACGCATTGGCAACACACTAAGGTTATGTTTCTAGAACAGGAAAGTGCATTTGATGGAGAAAAGTTGATGGTTATTACCATAAATCTTTAAGTACCCTTAAAAGAGGTTAGAATTGCGGAGAGGCAACATTTACATGATTAATTCTTCTTGAGAAAAATGTCTCCTATCCTCTATGAATAGACAAGTTTTGGATCATACTTCAAAAGATGAATGATGACCGCGAAAGTCGTAGATAATTGATGGGAGTATATTAGCATTTTATGAATTAGTTCTCAAAAGATTTTTCTTGAATCAGTTAAAGAAGATGAAAAGTAGACCTGACTATCAGATATCTTTCTCTCTTTTTTCCAGAAAAAGAAAACCTAATTCTTGAGGCCGCAATTAGTTGCTTAGTAATGTAAGTAATTTGAATTTCTGGTATTGATCCTAAATCGTGATTTTAAATGAAAGAACTACACATGCTCAAATACAAATCCCATCTGCGTAAAGACCCAAATTAAAAGTTCTTTCCACTTTTGGCCAAAAAACCTCAACAATCAATCCTTGTTTTGTAAGAAAAATATAGGTGATACTGAAGGAGTAAAAAAGGATGAACAAGAAACTGGGCGTTGGGATGGTTTGGTTTTCAGGGTCAGGTCTGAGTTCAAAACAGTTTAGGTTCACATGCTCAACCAGACGAAAGTTGAGACCAACCTGCCTTGTTACCAATTGTCATGGATACTTCATTAAAGAAGAACCACAGAGACAGCGCAACCATAAACTCCTGGAGATCTACTGAGTAATGACCACCACCAACAATCCTGCCAACCATAATGAAATGGCAGTGTTCATGTGAATCATGTCCCATCCACAAACATGAGAATCCAGATCTAAGATTATTCTCTGAAATTGGATGATTGCATACATACAGAGTAACACCAAAACTTGACATATTGACAAAAATTATACTCACAGCATAACATCTCAAAAATCATGTATTTTGGCCAAGATAAATATGTACTTAAGCAAATAAGCAATCAGATAAAACATGTAAAATGGGGGATAAATTATTGGTAACTATATTATTAAACAAAAAAAACCCTCAAGAGTGCAACACAATAGTCAAACATTCTCTTACTCTCACCCAAAAAAAGAAAAAAGAAAAAAGAAAAAAAAAAAGAGAAAACATATGATATGAAATTGTGAACAGTCTCATTAAAACTCACAGACATGTTGTGTCTCTCCAACAACAGTATCTACATTCTTAACCTCCTAATGATCAATAAAACCTTCAAAATGACATGTGATGCACCCAAAATTACTGTTACAGGACATGACCAGCCCTACCAGCCCTACGAGTCCTCCTCCTCTCATATTCGGCATCATCAGTAGGCAACTCATGACGACAAACAGGACAGGTATTCCTTATTCCCAACCAGGGTATAATGCAATCACCATGATAACGGTGGGCACAAGGCAGCTGCTTCACCTCTTCTCCAATATTGATCTCATCCTTACAAACTGCACATTGCGCATTGTTACAATCCACATCCTCTTTTGTCACAACCACTGATGGAAGATTCTCAACCACAGATTTAGAAGCTGGAGGCCTTCCCAAGAATGCATTTTCGTTCTCCAAAAATTGCCCGAACATTTCGTATTCTGATGTATGAATATAATCATCAGGATCACCAAAATATAGCTCAGCATTATCACCCATTTCTGGGTTTGTCTCCACATTATTTGAATGCAACAAAACCTGCCATCCAAAATTCCCTATTCCTGATGCCCTCTCAACACTGGCTGCATCCTCCTGTGCAATGATGGATGAAAGGGAAACAGAAACAGAATTCTCATCATCATAATGCACACTAAAAACTTCCCTCTCATCACCATACACTTCCTCCCACTCATCCTCATTTGTTTCTCCACGATCCTCCAATTGAAATGAATCCAAACGTAGTGGAATGGTAACACTAGCATCATCATCCTCATCATCATAACCATCAACATGATCCATACCATACTCATCAACTGAATTCAAATCTATAGCCAAAGCCCCATTGTCATCGTCCTCTGAATCTGACTCAAAGCGAACCAGCCTAACACTTTCCCTGCGGGGTTCAAGTTCGACTTCAACCCCACCAACAGCGGAGGCAGCCCCGCTGGAAGCCAAAGGTGAAACCCTCCTCTCAACGCTCCTCTCCACAAGGAAATCATCATCATCATCATCATCACCACCAACATCACTGCCACCAATAGTTTCAACAACAAAACCAGAATTACCATAGTGTGTCTCTACAGAACCAAACCCTAACCCTAAATCTAACTCCAAATCATCCACATCCAATTCATGGGTTCCATCAATAACACCGAAACCCAGATCAGTTAATGCATCGGAGACCAAATCAACAGCATTACTATCATCTGTGTCATTGCTACCATTATCATTATCGTCTTCGACACGATTATTGTTTTGACTGCTAGTGGTACCATCGGATATTACCTGGGATTGCTCGACGCGCTGGTGTAGGAGATCGATGACGAAATTGACCTGGTTCTCCCGGTCATCAAGGAGATCAAGGCCGTCGGCGACGAGCGCATCCGGAAACGAGAATTCATCGGGATCGGAGGAGAAGAAGTGGAATTCATGGGACCAGTAGGGAATGGGATCCAGGGTGAGGGTTTGATCAGGGCGAGAGTGATGGTGGACGACGACGTCGTCGTCGGGATCGTGGAGGTGGAGATGGAGGTAGGAGACGGATGCCATTTTTGTTGGCGAAGGAGGAAAGGGGGAAGAAGTTAAAAACGGAAGAGTCTTATTGCTCGTTCTAACTTCTAAATCCAAAAATTCGAAATTGAAAATGTATAGTTTGTTGACCTGTGAAGGGGAAATTAAATTACCTTGAGCTTTGACCCATTTTGTTTTTGTTTTTGTTTTTTTTTTTTTTTTACACTTGTTGTCGAATCGGTTTGTGAGACCTTAAGACTAATTTAAATCTCACTGTCTATCTTGCGTTACCAATTTCTTCCTGTCTTTCTTAGAGGCTTCGGACTGAGGTGATCTAGAGTATGTTAGGGGAAGATTGTAAGAGTTTTTATTTTTATTTTTTTTTGTATTATTTATAAGTGATAAATTTAAATTTTTATTAGAAAAAAATTTAAAAATTATTTTTAAAAGTAAAAAAAATGAGTAAGAAGTAAGTAAAAAGAAAATTTATAAAATGTTTAAATTTAAAATTTTTTTAAAATTTATTGTTTAAAGATTTTTTTAAAGTTAAAAAATATATGTTTTTAACTTGAAAATTTAAATTTATAAAACATAAATAATATCAAAAAATTAAAACTCTTACAAGTTTTACTAAACATGTTCTTAATAATTTAAAATTTAAAATTTTAAAAATTTAAATTAGAGGAGAAATTAGAAAAAAGAAGAAG